AATTTTGTCAAGCATTCGACACACGTTTGATCTTTATTGTTCTTGTCTTTGATTCACTCCATTATTATAGAATCTTTCGATCTCATTTATTGTTCCTACATCTACAAATGGCTAATGTTTTCACTCTTGATCCTACAAATTGTATATATTGGTCTCAAAATGTCCATGTTATCCCATGATCATCACTCTAATAAATTCTATTACAACTTCTCAAATTCCAAAATAGTGTGTGCAGAAGGGCTATCTGCCATTTGTCAAAGAACCCAACACATCATCACAACCTAACACATATTTTTCATCCTCTTATCTACCCACCAATAATCTTATTGTTTCTGGGGGTTAAACAAAACATATAAAACCTAAACATGGTCACAATGACCTATTCATAGCTCCATATTTGCCCTTCGCCTCCCTTTTGATGTATGTGAACATATCGTGGATACAACCCAATATAATCTATATGATATCATCCTAGCATGATAATCCCATTCATAGGTGACTCCCCGTATATAAGCACCCTATAAACACGGATTACTCATTGAAATACATATCCCAACCCAATACAAAACTATAATAATCCAAGTTAATTCCATATCGTTATTTACCTCTCCACCTGAACATTATATTTTAAGACATAATATCAAAAATTTAAAGTGACGTATTCACTATGAGTAAAGCTTCTGATGTCCAATGAGGACTTGTAATTTTAATAAAATACCAATGCCTTTGGTGCATATTAACTAGAGATTCAAATCCCCACTCTGGTTTCAATGTAACCAAGATATCATACTACAACCAAACCATGCATATTATAAATGCATCCACTTTGCTTATGTTGATCGAGGTAAAAACTATTCACCATGAACCTATGTTTAAGATACTTCTACTACTACATAGGTTGAAATTATTTCATTCTACCATAACTACATTATCAAGCAAGGTCGGTACCTCCGTTGGGACTATTTCCATCAAGGTTGACAACTTATAATTTAATATGATCATCTTAAACACTCAAGTTAGTCTTTTACAAAAATTTATGTCCCAACAGAGCTGCTTAGAAACCAAGTTATCATGCATCTTCTCACTATGTTGTTCGCTCATACAACAACTTCAAACCAATTTGGCACTATAGTCACCCAACTGAATGAATACATTCCCAATCTATACTCTTTAGACATCTTTGATGGCCTTACTTATCTTTAAAATGAAATGAAGAATGTTTTTGAAAGATAATAAGCCCATTTCCCTTGTTTTCCAAGATTAATAACTTTGTCACCTCTCTTAAAACTCTCCTCACTAAAACCAACACCCTCATATCTACAACCAATTAAACTTTCAAGAATATTTCTTGATTACATAAAGTTCTCCATCCTTACCCACTAACCACTTAGAATCTCTACCTATTTAATCGATAATCATATTCCCACTACCTTATCATCGCATTAATTAAATCATATTGGAATATATAGCAAGTCTAATTGCATATCTGCATGAATTTCTACAACCTTACATACCTTTTGTCTTAGCTTATATACCTACCGTAATATTATTACAACCATAGATCTAACCCATGCAATTATGAATCTTATCTCTCTCATATTCCATATGTTATGAACCGACTATAAACCTTCTGATTCAACATATGTGCTATCTATACATGATATACCTCAAGTAGCACCAAAAGCTCTAATAGCTTCATATACATTCTACTTAGCATGATATTGATGATGCCAAAATAGGAGAATTGTCAAAGGTAGGTTTCTTTTGAATGGGATGATATTGATGATGCCAAAATATACTTCTACCTCCTTAATAATCAACCCATTAAATTGTTCCTATTACCACTATCCATGCATATCAATGGAGATAAAAAAAAAAATATGGGAGCCATCCACAAATGGTGATGATATTCACATCAACTTTGTGTTATATAAATAAGATCCAATAACTTTAGAATTTATCAAACTATCTATGTTAACTAATTTACTTACAACAAATCCTCCATAAACGAAACACATACTAACATATTATACTATGTCTAAAAAACAGGAGCATAATATTAAGATGTAGGAGGAAAAATAGTTTCCCCAAGAGAGTAACAAGGTTCTCCTCTATAGAAAAATACGTGATGCTTCATTTTTCTTTGCTTGGGACCTTGTCATTGAGGGAAAATCTAAACCTATTGGAACAACTATTACTGAGTAGTAACAAATCACTCCATAAAATTAAGGTAACAAAGAGAATAAAAATGATAGCTAAAATAAATAAAGGAATAAATATGCAAGGATACTCTAATGTTTACACTAAGAGGGACCTTCCAAAGAAGATTATAAAAGTCTGATGTGTTAAGCCAAACGCTTCATAATATTTCAAGTATAAGGGAAAAGAAATTTAACACACGGACTATTGTGGATGAAACTAATGTTAATAGGTTGATGGGTACAGAGAGTTGCTATACAATAAACTAAGAATAGTTTAGA